CTTGGCCCCCCCCCCCCCCCCCCAATAATCCTTCAGTACCTCTCCCAATTGTCAGATGGACAGCTATACTAATCTGTGACTAAGATCACATATTACACAAAGCCATGATTTGGTTTACTAAATAAATCACAATTGTCTGGGTTTACATGTATATTGTCTCAGCTACTATGTATAATCCACAATAACTAGTTTGATGTTTTCACCAGGTGGTTCCATAGATGTTGATCTCCACAACTGTCAGTCATGGCTTTGGTCACCTGAAATTTTCACATAACACTTTTTAGTAAGAAAAAGTATAGTTCAGGTTACTAGCCTTAGCCACAACCTGTCACATGCAGCATTCCTGACTCACATTAAAGAAAGTATTAATCAATTCTGGTACACTTTGGCTTATAAGCCATGTGCAACTAAAGCCCAGTTTTAAAGTTCACTCGTGCTATTCTATGCAAGATAGGATCTCTAATCTAGATTATTTTGCAAACCAACATACTGTTGCCCACATCCCACAAACTAGGAGATACATGCAATGTACCAAGACATACTCAGGATGTCTTTTGGGGGGGGGGTCTACGTGGAAGGTTTTACTGAACAGTATGATAGTTCGTGAGAAAGTCCACCATTTTAATTCAGAAGTACCAAGGATATTAAGAAACAAAACAAAATAAAATCCTAGTGTCTTTGTGACAGCAGTTTTACTTAACAATCTTTGAGTTAAAAATCACAGACATAAAACACACTTAATGCACCACAATGTCAGAACTTCTCTTCACAATTTATTTTCAATTACAAAGGATGTTGCATACATTGATGAGTTTGTATGTGAATAGAAATGCTTGGGCTCAAGGGTAACAGAATGAACAAACCAATATTTTAATTGTGTCTTTTTTAAAAAAAAGGAAAAGTTACACAACATTAAACATTATAAAAGTTGCAAACAGATCATGCTTTTAACAGGATATTTTTTTCTAAACAGAGACAAGACCTTCAATACATTTCTCTGAGCTCCAGTAGGAAATGGACCACAGAACATTATAACAGCATTACAAACATAATCCTAGTAGAGGAAGGTCACAATAGTTTTTAATGTACTATTTTTACCTTTCAAAAACTTTGCTGTGTTTGCATATACTATCAGATTTGCTCCCCAGTCTTAAACAGGTTGTCATGGAGGCATCCCATAATACAGTGAAACCTACTTCCAAGTAAGAATGCTTAAGGCTGCAGCCCTAATTCTTAATTAGATTTTCAGTATATTTAAGGAAGGACGGACAACTTAATTCGCAGAATATACTGCAGTAACCAATGCTAAATGTTGTATTGTTTTGCATCTGAGGGAAGAGTATTGGAGCAGCAGAAATTTCCATTACTCTTAGAAGCCAGAAGTAATTACCTCAGTCTTTCATATCTAGTCTTTCATGACTAGCACACGTTTGAATCCAAACTTAAGGCAGATCCACTGAAATAAATGGGAAATCAAAATAATGTACTTTTAACTCTTAAGCAATAGATATTCAACAACATATTTTATAGCCAATTCAAGTTTAAAAGCATAATTAAAGGCAGTACATGTTTAATACACAAAAGATGTCAGCAGTACCTGGATCAACTAAATAGAAGCTTCATACCAAGAGATAATTCAAAGCTGTGGATGAACTATCACCTTTGTACCACTGGAGGTACTAGGTTAGCTCCTGATGAAATGGTGGACTAGAAGATCACTTGACCTACCATAACATGTTTTGGTTTTTTCTTTTCTCCCTAAGTTTAATTTAGGCTTTAACTTTCTATTTTAGAAAAAATTAAGGCTACAGCCATATATACAACAGTGTAGTAAGCTCCACATAGATAAAATGGGATGTTTTTAAACATGTTTGTTTAGGATTAGGGAGAAAATGCATGACCAGTATGTTCTTGTGGAAGTTCCTAACGTCTTAAGAGGCTAAGCATCTCACTGCATGAACACTCCTATCACCCAAAATAGTGGAGGAAAATTAAAGAGTATATGATCCAATCAAGTTTAGAATGCTTTGAAGGAAGTATATGCTAAAGTGCCATTTCTGTGTGTTGTCAAAGCATTCAGTTCACTCTGGAAATATGCCTAAGTATTATTGTGGTAATGCCCTTACATGCCATGATTTATTAATTAAAAAGATTAAAGAATCACCTTTTGGATTAATAAATGACTGAAATATAATTTGCACAATCCCTCAGGTAAAAACAAAATAAAAATAAACAGCTCAAGACACTGCACTTTTGTGCAGTATTCAGTTATACAAAATGGAGCTTTCCATCTGATAGCAGGCTAAAATACATGATTTCACAGCTAAAGCCTTACTTAAAAAAAGAAACAAATCATGAGTAGACAGGAGTGAAATTCAGACCTCAAGGCCTAAACCTTTGTACGATGTCTTGTGATTGTGCCTCAACAGAACTCAACAGGAAGACTGCTAAATGTCAAGGAACCGACTGGCTATGCTATTTCTGCTGAAGGCAACTTGTAAGAAAACCCATGAAAAACAAGTAGGAGAGTATTAATGCTTTAAAACTAGTCATATTTATAAGACTTACATAAGATAAACCATACATCAGTTACTGACATTTGTGAATAAACAAGCAGATTTATTAACAAAGGCAAACATCAGGAAAGTGGTACAGACTTAAGTGAAACTCACACTGACAGTACGGTATTTGAGAAATGTCTGTTGCTTTTAAGTTTATTCAAGAGACCTTTAATCTGTTATAGAAGTAGTTTTTGCTTTCTCCAGTACACTTCAACCTAAGTTTAAAAATAAATTACCAACCAAACTAGTGAAGTTTGTATATCTTTGCCCAAGTCCTACAACAGTTTCACTGTTTGCATGGATGCCACAGTAGCATGGAAAGAACCAGTCCTTAACTAGTCAGAAGACTAGTGCTAATTAGCCCCAGAAAATTAAATACTAAGATTTGCTTGATAAAAGAGGCAGAGAATCTGTTGTTAAGAGATGTAGTGGAATTATTATAAAAATCCTATTTTCCAAGACCACTAAAAATTGGTCACCTTATGCCAGTACAAACTATCAATATAATTTTAAATCAGATCTATTTGAAATTCCTTTATTATGCTTTCATTGTTGTTTGCTTCTAAAAGGGTTTAAGGAGTCCTGGGGAATGAAAAATAAACTTGGTTCTAATATACAAGTAAGGCACAATATAAAGCCACATCATAATCTGTCAATGGAGTAAGTGGATAAAGGACAAGAACCATACATGGTACAGAGCAAGTAGTTCATCATAGCCATTCAAAAATAGAAGTGTGGCACTCAATTTCCGACTGACAATTTTTTAGCAAGAGCATGCTTTCAATGGAAACAAACTCTAAAATATCCAGTGTATGAAAGAGAATTTAGGGCTTTTTTTTTTTT